GCAGCAATAGAGTCACAGTTTTTCTGGTTTCCTATGAAGCGTTCTTAAACCCTTCACTAATTGGTATTGAAGAAAAAACATGCACTTTTGGTGTATCTTTGCTGTAATATCAATTATAACAGGATCAGGCAGCAGTGAATCGACCTGGATATGTTTTTAACATATAAATTTAATTTGAATGCCGAATGTCACATGTATTTGTCTACATCCTCTAATTAAATCAATATTTAGACTTACTATAAAGTTAACAAGTCATACATGTTACACCCTAATTTTGACATTTGATCAGATAGTGATGCTATCTGACAAAGTAACACTATCAGTGTCACAATGCTGGTCATCATTAAAATCTTTGCAGTGTCTATTGCATTGTGGCATATGCCTCAGTAGACAAAAAATGTGCTGTAGTAAAGTACAAATAAATAACTTCCTAAACAAATATCCCCCCAAAAAACTTCCCTAATTTTTTTATGATCCCCACTAAAACTTTACTATTATTCCACTAAAAAACTTATCTCCAGTTTCCCCTAAATAATGTCCTCAACTAATCAAATAAAAATAATGTTCTAACCCTTAAACATAGTGTAAACATAACTCTTGCCCTAACCCCGATACTGATTCTAATTTTAACCTTGTAGGAACATTCCAAAAACTACACCCTGTAAGAATTAAACTGGCTTAGACATTGTAGAAAATCTAAGAAGTAAGTATGCCAGAATCTATAAATATATAAAGCACAATATATTTTTTAGATAAGGGGAATGTCCAAATTCTATAAGAAACTTGTTCTGTCCATAGATAGTTCACACATGAAGAGTTCTGCTCATATACTCACTGATAATATAAAAAGAAAGTTCAGCGTTCAGTACTGCTGCTGTGGTCTGTGACATTTGTACTTCAGAGTTGGTGTGCAGTTAAAACACTCTCCGGCATCCTCAGTGTTAAACTAATGTCCAGACTATCTCGATTTCCTAGCAACCAGACTAGTTTTGTCTCTTAAACGAGACTTTCCCAATGGCTTTCTCAGAGTACAGAGTTCAAAGACCTTTGTACTCACAACATACAATGTAGTCCTCCATCCTTGTTATGTTTACAATTTCTAACAGGTGAATAGTAAAATAAAACCACTACAATGCTATGGGTTCCAGTTTCTTTGTCAGCCACCCATGAGGTGTTAGAATATTAAGACCAGTATTAGTGAACCAGTAATCATTATCAGTATTTATTTCAGTAAATACAAAAAAAGAAAGTGAGCTTGGAACAAGGCCAGATATGGGTTTAATCTTCACGCAGCAGGTTCAAAGAACCAAAGCACAACAACCTTACACTTTCGATATCATCAATAAAACAACCAAACTTAGCCCTGTGATTCCATGAAAATTAAAATATAATACGATTTTGAAATTCACACCAGTGGCAACATTAATGAATACAGGACCCTGGTGCAATAAATATTTTGCCCCCTCTATATAACAGGGGTGGGCAAAAGATTCTCAACTCTCACAGGGTTGTATTCATGTACAGTGTCTATGTGTTTGAATGTAGGGATGTTTTAGTATGGAGTATGTGTATGAATGCAGGGGTGTATTTGTGTGTAGTGCTGGTGTTGCAATGCAGGGTGTGTTTGTGTGTTGTATTGGTGTTTGAATACAAAGGATGTATTCACAGATATGCATACTTTGTAAGGTACAGAGACACCCACATGTACACACACACATGTACATGCATTGATACACAAATTTGCACATACCTGACCTACCAATCCACACACAGACGCACATACAGAAACACACTAATTTAAACAGACAAAAATTCATACACTTGAAACACAGATAAACACACATTGAATCACGCACACAAAGATACACTGTCAGAAACACAGATATGCAGACACACGCTGACACACTAATACACTTCCTCATTAGCCCAAACAGAACAGATGGAATGGGCTGCTGAGGAATCTCGTTGAGCATTAAATAATTAAAAACGGTTTAAAGCTGAACCTAAGGATTGTGCCAGTCAGAAGAATATAGATACTATAACCACTTCAATAAGATGAATCAGTTAAAGGACCACTATAGGCACCCAGACCACTTCAGCTTAATGAAGTGGTCTGGGTGCCAGGTCCAGCTAGGACTAACCCTTTCTTCTATAAACATAGCAGTTTCAAAGAAACTGCTATGTTTACATTAGGGTTAAGCAAGCCTCTAGTGGCTGTGTCATTGACAGCCGCTAGAGGCGCTTCTGAGCTTCTCATTGTGATTTTCACAGTGAGAAGATGCAAGCGTCCATAGGAAAGCATTAAGAATGCTTTCCTATGGACTGGCTGGATGCGCGCGCGGCTCATGCCGCGCATGCGCATTCAGCCGATGACGACGAGAAGGAGGAGGAGGAGAGGAGGAGGAGAGTCCCCTGCCCGGCGCTGGAAAAAGAGGTACATTTAACCCCTTCCACCCCCTAGAGCCTGGCTGGAGGGGGACCCTGAGGGTATGTTTTCCTGGCACTATAGTGGTCCTTTAAAGTGTCCATTCAATATTTATTATTATTACTTTTATTACTGGTATTTATATAGCACCAGCTACAAAAACTTACAGGAACAATAGGTTGAAGAGGGCCCTGCTCAAACAAGCTTACAGTCTATAGGAGGTGGGGCCTAAAACACAATTTATGGCAGATATACAAATTTGCAAACCAAAGGATGCAATACAGATTTTAAAAATGATTTCACCTCCTGAAGTGCTTATTTAACCAGATAGTTCAAATAAAAAAAGAATGTTCCCTGAACTTCAGTGAACAGGAAAGAAGAGATCTTAAATTTTGAATGAATGTATACTTTAATGGAAAATGTGTAAAAAAGTGTGAGGTCAGGGAAGCAGGCTTAATAGTACAAATAAAACCCTTAAAAGAGGGCTGTAAAGGACCCCCAAATAGTCATAAACTATCCATATGCTCTCTCAATTTCCCACTACTAGTACCGGAGTCCAAGTCACTCACAAATTATACCATTGGGAAAAACACTAACTGTGCATGTAACTTAACACCTTAAAGCACGACAGTTGAATGGAAGTGCACTCTTCAAACACCTCTATATTGGACCCTTCTCAAGATGTCTAAGACTAGCAAGTTATTACTGTCTGCCTGACCACAAACTAGTGCTAAACGTAAATGATTCCCCCATAATAAAAAGAAAAAATACTAGAGACAACAAAAGCCTGTCATGCATTTTAGTTTGTCAAAGACCCTCATCGAGGACTAAGCCCTATTTATGGCAGGCTTGCATACTTGGCCTTCAAGGGTAAATGTCCCTTCTCTCGATATTCAACAAATAAATACAATTTTAAAATCTATAATGTGTGTTAGCCTTTTCAAGCTTTAGCAAATGATAACACAATTTTGAAACTTTGTTGAAAATGTAAACATTGTTTAAAATATCCTTTTCTCTGTACTGTTCTCTCTATGCTCAAAGCCAGGCAGAGCTTGGAATGGGCAGAACTTGGAATGTGATTATTGGCAATGAGCTAAGATGGAGACGCCCATTTGCTCTGTAAAGAGGAGTTGATTTATATATTTCATTTTATTTTTCACACCAATCAAATCCATACATAGCTGTTAAATAAAAGGGATACATGAACTTAATATGAACATTTATGGGATATGTCAGTTCTACTTTTAACTGGGGGATGTGCAAGTTAATATTGATGGTGTTTTCTTCCATGCTCTCATGGTAGTGCTTACAATCTTATGCTCATCCAGGTAGTCGTCCAAAACCTTGGCTCTCTGTTTTTCTTTCCAGTGTCATGTCAGTCCTGTCAAGTCTCTGGTGCTAAATAGATGCTATATTGGTGCAAAAGAGTTCCCAGTGATACTTAGTCTTACTCTTGGAGTGTCAATCGATTGTCCCTTGGTGAGTTGTCACTATTTTCTTACCTCATGATTGTGCAGAGTTTTGCCAGTTTATGTTTCACTGACTGCAACTTTTTTTCATGTTTTATTAGGTATTTTCAAGACATGACAATGGAAATAATAAGAAAATATTTAATGTCACAAGAGAATAGTAACATAGGAAAAAAAACAACAACAACAACAACAACAACTGTGTTTACAGGTTTAGAGTATCCATACAATACAAGTACATGGAGAAAGATAATTACATTGCAATTGTCACATTAGCATGCCATTCAAAAAAACAAAAACAAAATAAAAATCGACAAGATAAGGGAAATAAACTCGATTTTGCCCAATATTGTCATGTACATCAGAACATATCAATATTATATATATATATATATATATATATATATATATACACACACATACACACATACATACACACACACACACACACTTTGTTTATGACAGACAGAAATAGATTGCAAATAGGCATATATATATAAAAAATCATAGTTGTATAAATGGGATTTGTATTCCAAACATTAAAGGAGCACTATAGTGCCAGGAAAACATACTCGTTTTCCTGGCTCTATAGCAGGGGTAAGCAACCTTTTAATACCTACCGCCCACTTTTGTATCTTTGTTGATGGTAACATTTCCTTACCGCCCACCAGTGCAGCAGTAACTAATTTTATAGCGCAAGTATGATTTTTTTTTCTTTCCATTTTTAGAAAGGAGAAATATGTACTTAAATTTATCTATTTTTTTCTATTTTCAAGTCTACTTTTTTTTCTGTGTGTGTGTGTTTGAGAGGTGCAGTGTGTGTTAGAGTTGCTGTGTGTGTATGTGAAGGTAGCTATTGTGTGTGTGTGTGTGTGAGGGGGCAGTATGTGAGTAGGAGGAGTGTAGTGTGTGAGGGGGCAGTATGTGTGTGGGAGGGGTGTAGTGTGTGATGGGGCAGTCTGTGTGTGTGTGTGTGTGAAGTGTGCATAGGGTCTATGCTGTGTGTAGTGTGATCTTTGTCTGCAGGTAGCACGGTCCTCTAGAGCAAAAACATGCACAGTCTTTCAATGCAACTTCATTCCAGGCACTTTATTTGTAAGTTTACAAATGAGGCAGCAGCAAATGAAAACATAAATATAACAGGTTTCCCTTTAAACAAAAACCTAGCTCGTCTGAGCACTGACTCACTTTGTATAACCCTCTCTATCAGGGTTAAACTAACAAAAACATATTGCACCAACCTTATTAGATAGCAACACTCTGCTAGCTAGCCTGTTGCTTTCCTTTCTGCACTCCCAGTGCTCCAAGCCAGCCTTGCCCTGACTGCTTTCCTTTCTGCACTCCCAGTGCTCCAAGCCAGCCTTGACTGCTTCCTCATGCACTCCCAGTGCTCCAAGCCAGCCTTGCCCTGACTGCTTTCCTTTCTGCACTCCTAGTGCTCCAAGCCAGCCTTGACTGCTTCCTCCTGCACTCCCAGTGCTCCAAGCCAGCCTTGACTGCTTCCTTTCTGCACTCCCAGTGCCTAGTCTCCTTGACACTCTATCTGGAGAGAACAGCCTCTCTCCTACCTGCTTCCTGGGAGGAAGCCAGCAATCCCTCTCCTCTTTTTCCTGCCTAGCCGGGAGGGGTTTATTCCCACTGCAACAGCTCATTAACTGCAGCTGAGCAGTGGGTTGGAGACGGTCCAAAAAACCCTGGCCTGGATCTACGTCTCCCCAGAAAACCACTAAACTGTGTAGTGGAGCATTGGCCCACCCTTCTCTCCAAATGCTCCACCCCAGGGGCCCATAACTAAACAAAGCTTTGTGTTGTGCAACACACAAACTACACGTACTTCCCCTGGGGTTAAAAGGCCTATCTGCCTTCACTTTATCACATTAGGTTGGTAAGATGTGAAAATCTATCTTAATGTCTCCCCTTCCCTTCTTCTTACCATTTATCAGGTAGGGGGTACATAATGCTGCAAGCCCTGGTGGTCCAGTGGTGGCATGTTCACTTTAGCCTGCAGCTCCTCTGGCTGCAGGCGGACTCTCCTGTCCTCCTGCAAGCACAGCACTGTATCAGAGCATTGCCATGGAAATGCACAGCAATGATCTGACCAGGCTGCTCGCGGGAGGAACACAGAGGTTCCTAGGCGCTTCCCTCCCTCTGCTGGATCTAAGTGCCAGCGGGCCAGTGTGGAACATTTTTGATCTCCTCACCAGCCCAAGAGAGCTTACAGCAAGGCTGGCTCTGCATGGGCCGGCAGGGGAGATGAAAGGATCTTCCCTGCCGGCCTTGGTCCACGGCCAACTAGGCCCACCAGGAGTTTTCTACAGAACGGTAGAGACCAGGTTGACTACCTATGCTCTATAGGGTCTCTAGGTCCCCCCTACCCTCAGGGCCCCCCTCCTGCCAGGCTATAGCGTTAAATTTACCTCTTTCTCCAGCGCTGGGCGGGGGACTCTCCTCCTCCTCTCCTCCTCCTCGGCTGAATGCGCATGCACGGCATGAGCCGCGCACACGCGCATTCAGCCAGTCCATAGGAAAGCATTCACAATGCTTTCCTATGGACGCTGGCGTCTTCTCACTGTGAAAATCACAGTGAGAAGCACGGAAGCGCCTCTAGCGGCTGTCAATGAGACAGCCACTAGAGGCTGGATTAACCCTATTATAAACATTATATTATAGAAAAAAGGGTTAAACCTTGCTAGACCTGGCACCCAGACCACTTCATTAAGCTGAAGTGGTCTCGGTGCCTATAGTGGTCCTTTAATTCTCAATCATCAAGTTTCTGTGTATTACTTCCTCGCTAATACAGGGAGTGCAGAATTATTAGGCAAATGAGTATTTTGACCACATCATCCTCTTTATGCATGTTGTCTTACTCCAAGCTGTATAGGCTCGAAAGCCTACTACCAATTAAGCATATTAGGTGATGTGCATCTCTGTAATGAGAAGGGGTGTGGTCTAATGACATCAACACCCTATATCAGGTGTGCATAATTATTAGGCAACTTCCTTTCCTTTGGCAAAATGGGTCAAAAGAAGGACTTGACAGGCTCAGAAAAGTCAAAAATAGTGAGATATCTTGCAGAGGGATGCAGCACTCTTAAAATTGCAAAGCTTCTGAAGCGTGATCATCGAACAATCAAGCGTTTCATTCAAAATAGTTAACAGGGTCGCAAGAAGCGTGTGGAAAAACCAAGGCGCAAAATAACTGCCCATGAACTGAGAAAAGTCAAGCGTGCAGCTGCCACGATGCCACTTGCCACCAGTTTGGCCATATTTCAGAGCTGCAACATCACTGGAGTGCCCAAAAGCACAAGGTGTGCAATACTCAGAGACATGGCCAAGGTAAGAAAGGCTGAAAGACGACCACCACTGAACAAGACACACAAGCTGAAACGTCAAGACTGGGCCAAGAAATATCTCAAGACTGATTTTTCTAAGGTTTTATGGACTGATGAAATGAGAGTGAGTCTTGATGGGCCAGATGGATGGGCCCGTGGCTGGATTGGTAAAGGGCAGAGAGCTCCAGTCCGACTCAGACGCCAGCAAGGTGGAGGTGGAGTACTGGTTTGGGCTGGTATCATCAAAGATGAGCTTGTGGGGCCTTTTCGGGTTGAGGATGGAGTCAAGCTCAACTCCCAGTCCTACTGCCAGTTCCTGGAAGACACCTTCTTCAAGCAGTGGTACAGGAAGAAGTCTGCATCCTTCAAGAAAAACATGATTTTCATGCAGGACAATGCTCCATCACACGCGTCCAAGTACTCCACAGCGTGGCTGGCAAGAAAGGGTATAAAAGAAGAAAATCTAATGACATGGCCTCCTTGTTCACCTGATCTGAACCCCATTGAGAACCTGTGGTCCATCATCAAATGTGAGATTTACAAGGAGGGAAAACAATACACCTCTCTGAACAGTGTCTGGGAGGCTGTGGTTGCTGCTGCACGCAATGTTGATGGTGAACAGATCAAAACACTGACAGAATCCATGGATGGCAGGCTTTTGAGTGTCCTTGCAAAGAAAGGTGGCTATATTGGTCACTGATTTGTTTTTGTTTTGTTTTTGAATGTCAGAAATGTATATTTGTGAATGTTGAGATGTTATATTGGTTTCACTGGTAATAATAAATAATTGAAATGGGTATATATTTGTTTTTTGTTAAGTTGCCTAATAATTATGCACAGTAATAGTCACCTGCACACACAGATATCCCCCCTAACATAGCTAAAACTAAAAACAAACTAAAAACTACTTCCAAAAATATTCAGCTTTGATATTAATGAGTTTTTTGGGTTCATTGAGAACATGGTTGTTGTTCAATAATAAAATTAATCCTCAAAAATACAACTTGCCTAATAATTCTGCACTCCCTGTATATGCTAACTTCCCTAAGGTAGTTCCTGTTCTGTTACTTATGAGAAGATCGGTCGTTATACTCCTA